CTTTCTTTCCTTTCTTTCCTTTCTTTCCTTTCTTTCCTTTCTTTCCTTTCTTTCTGTCTGTCTTTCTGTCTTTCTGTCTGTCTGTCTGTCTTTCTGTCTGTCTTTCTTTCTTTCTTTCTGTCTGTCTGTCTGTCTGTCTGTCTCTCTCTCTCTCTCACAGGAGGACTGGACACAGAGCCCAGCCACAGAGTTGACAGAGTTCAGGGGCGCGGCCAAGAGGAGGACAAGAGGAGGACGCAGAGTTGACAGAGTTCAGGGGCGCGCGCCGTGCAGAGAGAAAGACAGAGAAAGAAAGAAACACTTAAAGAGAATGGGCGCGAGAGAGAGAGAGAGAGAGAAAGAAAGACAGACAGACAAAAAAGAAAGAAAGAAAGAAAGAAAAGAAAAGAAAAGAAACGTCAAGAAAAGAAAAGTAAAGAAAAGAAAAGCAGAAAAGAAAAGAAAAGAACAAAGAAAAGAAAAGAAAAGAACAGAAAAAGAAAGAAAGAAAGCAAGAAAGGAAGGAAGGAAGAAAGAAAGAAAGACAGAAATTCTTAACTGGGCTCTTGTCCCCCTCTTGTCCTCTGTGCTGGGCTCTGTGGCTGGGCCTTGTCCTCTTCTTGTCCTCCTCTTGTCCTTGTCTTGGCCGCGCCCCTGAACTCTGTGGCTGGGCTCTGTGGCCCGGCTTACTGGAGAGGAGTGTGGCCGAACAAATAGCGATGTCAATGCCGACACAAGTTCATTGATGAAACAGTTTGCTCTTGGGGTCAAAGTAGGGCGTACCAAGAAATCGATTTTTGACTAATATTGGTCTAAATGAATCGTTTTGAAGCTGTTTGGGGTCTATGCTTGTATAGTTTTTTCATTTGATTTCATTTGTGCCTTGATCTCATGAATTAAAAGGTTTCGTTCAGCCCGGCCAAACGTCCTGAACAGCCGGGGAGGATGTTTGAGTGGATGATACTGAAAACCTAAGTGTTCAGAGCTTGGAAGGGTATAGCGATTAGACACTTCAAAAGGACTTGAACCTTCCATGGTGTAAAACTTCGGCCGCTGCTTTTGTGCGACTGGCCGGTTTGAAACTCAGCGCAAAACTCCTCCGGCCAAAGCTCTGCAGACGCCCACAAAGGCCGCCACAAGAAGCACATGAATCCCACATGAACCAGATGACTGGTCACCTGTTCGGCCAAACCTTGATCCTTCAGTGTCCCCTAAGAGGTGTCCCCTCTGGTGTCGTCCACTCCGTATCCGTTCTCGTCCTTCTCCACGTATCGCCAGGTGAAGTTCTTCCAGAACTTCGATGTGGAGCGCGTGCCAGGTGACAAGGCTGACCGTGTGGCCGACGGTTCCTCAACCGGGTGAAGACCTGTGTGGTCGTCGACACGTTGTCAGCAGTTTGGAGGACATGAAGGCCTTTTTGGGTGCAGACCCGAGTTGACTGTCACAGAAGCTATCAAGTGTTGAGTGTGGTTTTCCCGCTTGGGGGGTCACAGACTCGGCAGAAACCCTTTTCTGCAGCTCCTTGAGATTGGCCTTCACTTTGATTGCAACCTTCGCACAGGCTGGGTATACAGTGCTGAAGCCCGATGGACGCAGTCCACCCTTCCTGAACTTTGATACGCCGCTTCATCTTCACGAAGAAAGAGTCTTCACACTGCGATACTGTCAGTGCCCATCTGGAAGGAGGAAAGTTTCTACTGTTTTTTGCCATGGCTTTGCCAAACATAGGACTGAGTGGCAAACCAATAGACTGTGCTTTTGTCGTTGAGTTTGTGGCCGTTTAGAGTTTAGATCACGAAAGGTAGCGGTTACGCTACCTGAGTTTTCCTTTTGCTCTAGCAAAAATGTATTAACCCAGAGCTGCAGCCTATCTCTCGGAGAAATGGTCCCCGACATCTTCGTTTGCTGGCCGGGGCCCCCCCCCCCCCTTTCAACTCCACCCTAGCGCGCCTCGGGGTCAACCGTTCGAAAGCACTGATATAAAACACTGTAAATATCAGTGTTTTCAGCTCTTCCAGTCCTCAGCAGTGACCAAAAATCATAGAATTTACAGCGTTTTTTGTGGCTGTCCGGCAAAAAACACCGCAAAAACCGATGGTTTTTGATGCGTCTCGGTTAGAAAAATGACCGAAAAAAGACCAAAAACCAGGAAAGATTTTGTCAGAAAGGGTTTTTGAGGCTTTTGGAGGCTTCAAAATTGCACAAAACTATGGTATTTACAGGGTTTTGTGCACCTTCCCGGCAGAAAACGCAGGTATTTACACGGTTTTCTGCGCTTTTCCAGCGCTCAACCGTGGTGCGCCTTTGGATCGACGGCTACAAAATACCGTAAATACCAGTGTTTTCAGCTCCTCCTGTCTTCAAGCGTGGCCTTAGACCTTGCCGCGGCTGTGGATCGACGGCAACGAAACCTCGTAAATACCAGTGTTTTTGAGCACGTCCTGTTTGCAAGCATGGCCTGCGGCCACGCAATTTACAGGGTCGCCGCACGTCACTATGTAAATCCGAAGTTGCATTTGAGAAATATGCGACTCCTTTTGAAGGCACGTCAACCTGTATTGAAACCGCTAGACCACTACAGCTTCTGGAGGTTTTGTCAAGCGCTTGTGCATTAGTCTTTCTTTCATCACGCTCACTCACTTCTCTTCAAACAAGTGGGGGGCCTCTCACCTCCTCCCGGATTACGCCTGATTCCCTGCTACCTTTCGTTCACCCCCCTCCTCTCTCAAGTACTTGAGAGGCCGTCATGGATCTCACCACAAGCAATGGAATTGGAAGCAATGGAATGAACCCGTGCATTTCCCGTTTGGATTTCTCCGTCCTGCTCGCTGCTCGCCCTTCTTCCGAGCAAGGCAGTTGAAGAAGGACCGAGCCGAGAGTGTTCTGGGGAGTGTTCTGGGGACCGACACCCAAATCGCATGAAAAGCAACGGTCTTTTTCTTCCGAAGTGTCGTTCCAGTGGCTGAGTGTGTGGGGCTAGCCGCTGGTCCATGCGAAGAGTGCAGGAGGCCACCTTCCTGGGCCTGTGCAACAACTTCAAGTTGCTACCACGGAGCCCTTTGCAGGCCTGAGCCAAACTGACCCCACTGAAATGGCTCCCTGGGTGATCTTGACATAGCGCACTGAAACATCCTCCACAGTGGTGACGTCGCGGAGGGTCGGGTGTGCTCCCACGCCGTGCACCAACGAAGCAGGCTTGCGAGACGGAGGACCGGTGAGAATTGGTGGACGTGAGCAGGAACGATCTCGTCCGCACAGGAACGATGGAACTGCCGGCTTGGCGGTGCATCCCGAACGAGTCTCTTGATCAATTAGTTATCAAGATCCTGCCATGCACCTTGCAAGGACATGTCCAGTGATCCCTGGACAGGATAGCCCTCTCGAAACTTGTGAGTGATGTTGACAATGACTCACTTGCCAAGAATTGATGGCCGTCTGATGTCCATTGGTCCATTGGTTTACTTGGGTTGCAGTTTTGAGGATCCTGGATTTGCAAACGCGCTTCTTTCCGCGCATGTGTACAGGCCATGCGATAATCATCTTGACAGTTTAGTATCTCCACTTCCACTGGCTGAAGATGTTTGCCTGCGGGTTGGTTATGCAGGCACTGGAGCATGTCCCACGTTGCTACTGGACAATGCGTTGTCATTGTTCTCCTTCTCAACACCGCCAATATACCAAGTTCACACAGCAGACTGGTTGGGCAGGTTCCTCCATGCCTGAACCCCCACAAGCTTTCTCATATATGCTCTGTCGGGTTTGTATTTCAATAGTGAGACCCCCAAGCAATCGGTTCTAGTTCCTGACCCGGAAAAACCTTGGGGGTCTCCCAATTTCCATTCACACCCCCCAATAGGCTGATCCCTTTGTCTGGCATGTATCAGACATTGGTTTCAACCATGGATCCTTGAAGTGTATCTTTGTCCAGTGGGCTGAGCAGACCGCCCCGCAAGCTCAAGTCTCTGTATTAGGGGCTTTGTGGAGAAAAGGCACCGATGGCGCGATGGCACATCGCACGATGGCACGATAGGGAAGGCATAGCTGCATATCCTTGCACTTTCCTGTTCTTGGTGGGAATCGTTTCACCTGTAACAAGACACTTTTTAGTATGTCTTTGAAGCTGCGTAATAATAAGCTTTCTAGTAGAGTAGAAGCTACTAGGTGGAGGCCACCGCTATTAGGTTGGAGGATTCAAGATTGTATGGGGTTGTTCGGTTTCAAGGCTCCTGCTGAAAAGGGGTCCTTTTCAAAGTTTCTCCGTTGAGACACTGACACTGCAGCACCTTTCTGCAGACACTTGCTTGTGTTTGGACAGGACATGATAAACACACTGGAGCAGACGAACAGAGAAGAGAAGGGAAAGAAGGCGCTGGTTCATGGCTGACTTTATGACCTAGGTCCTAGGCCCTGGATGACAAAGTCAGTTGGAATGTTCGATCAGCATCCGCAGGCCCACGGTCATGTCCTACGACAAAGTAGTGTGTTCAACAGATCTTGGCACATCTCAGACCACCTTGTTTCGACTTGGACTTCGACTATGTCCAATAAGTAGTAGCAAGAAGCTACTAGTAACAAGGGCATCGCTACTAGTAACAAGGCATTACTACTAGTAGCAAGCTACTATGTAGATTGAAGACTGGTCCAAAAAGCTAGTACGTCCTTCCTTGAACCTCTGCTTTGACCAAGCTCCGCAGGCGTTTTGCGACCAGACTCCGTCCATGGCCGACATGTTTGCTCCTTCGTTGTCTCTTTGCATGTAAACAGAAGATGATTTGATTTTCTTTAAATCACCCGGAGTATTTTTCCGCAACTTCTTGAAGAAGCAGAAACAAAAACATGTAGAATGGTTTGTATCATGTCTTCATTCAGGTGACATCACCCACGCATCCGACATGACTTGCGGTAGCTTCGGCTTTCACCAGTCTGGCCATTCCACATATCATCACTGATCTATCACCAGGAGTTAAAGCACACCAAGAGCACCTTGGGTGAAAGAGAGGACGGTTCCGCTATCGTTTTTGTGCTTTGCTGCGCCGGGTTTGGGTTCGCGCCGCGAAGGAATGTGTGGGGCGCGTGGAACGTTCACTTTTCCATCGAAGGTTCCGCTCCCATCCAACGCGTGTGGACGAGTCAAGCGGCGTCTGTGGCCGCGTCGTTTGGAGATTTTGAGCGATCCGTGATCGAAGAGCACGCTGTAGGACGAATCCAAAAGAAAAAAGGCTGCGCTGGAGCTGACCACGGCACAGGCGTTTTTTTGCAGACGTGTGCTGCATTCCTAGTCGAGGGAATGAGATGACCGTCCTAGCAAGAAGAGATACTGACTCATACAAGATGATCAAGAAGCTGGAAGATCTCTTGCATATTGCATGCAACATCTGACTTTTGTTAGCCTGTTGAGAATGCAGCAGGTCGCTCAACTCCGGGAGCAATTGGCAAGCTTGGCCCAAGAGTACCATGGCTGCGACGAAGTGGTGAGAACTGAAACGATGAAGCCGAGAGGAAAGGCAACAATGTTGGAGACCCCGTGGCAAACTGACACTGAACAGCTTTGACACTGCAAGAGTTCAATGGCTTGCTAGAATGAAGCAAGGCGCTATTTGAAAGCTGGTTTGAAAGCCACAGAGAGAAACAGAGCGAGCGAGACAGAGCGAGAGAGAGAGAGAGAGCGGGGGGGGGGGGGACCAAGAGAGGGAGACGGAGAGTTGGAGAGGGACGCCAGTCCACTGCAGGGTTGATTCATTTAACTCGTTTGAAGCATCTAGAAACAAGACGCGCAAGATCTTGCAGTTCTGTACACTGAAGATCGGTTCGAGTCGCCCCACAGGGTGAAACAAACACCACCAGATTGCTTGGAGCGAACCTCGTCGGGATCGTACCGCCGAGGCTTGCAGATCTTGCTGACAGCGAACAGAAGCTCACAGAAATGCGCCAGGTGCCACCACGCAGAACTCTGTGCAGAACTCTGCCAGCATGTTCGTTCTGCTTCATGCCGAACGTATATCATCGTGAACGATATGGGCCCGCACGATCCAATATGAAATCCCTGCCCATACCAGTTTCCTAAGTGTTTTTCAGAAGAGGTCTCTCGGCCATGATTGAATGCCAGGCAGAACATCAAGAGCACACGAAGGCAAATTTCAGATGGCAGGGATTGGGGGTGTTGCCATACTGCAGTGATTGCGAAAGTCCTTGATGAATGATGTTTCGAATTGCGGTGATGGACTCCGTTCCCTTCAATCCTGGTGGTTCATGTCTTGGATGTGAAGTGGGCAGCAGGTGCTGAGCAGGTGCTGCGTGCACATATTTCCCCAAACCCGCTGATGGAGAGAGGCGAAAGACGCCCCCCGGGGCATCCGGCTTTACAGTATTACAAGCAGCAGTCTCACATGCGGAAGAAAAATAGGTGCCCTTCCCACTTTCCGCTGGGGGAAAGAAAACACAGATGGAGTTTCCCATAGTTTTCCCATTGTTCTCCCCGTTCTCGGCGCCTTTTTCCTTCTTCCTCCGTCGGTCCGGTCGAACCCGTCGGTAGGCCTACCAAGATTTAGAGCTGGGCCTCGGAGGAGTGCAGACGGCCATCAAGGCACCCGGCGAGCGGCTACCCGGGCGCCACCGGCGCTGCCTGTGTTCATTTTCGAAGTTTCATGTTGATGTTGCCCAGTTCATGGATGGAGATGAAACAGGTTTTTTCAAGGGCACACAGCTTGAGAGGACTGGGCAGGTTGACAGGTGTTGGTTTTGTGTTTGTTGTTTCACTGCTGCAGGCGCTGCGGGACTACTATTCACAGGATCGTCCTGTTCAACTAGACATGGCGGAGGGGACACCCAAATGCCCGTTGCACATGCTTTCAAAGGATCTTTGCAAGGGCAACAAGCGGCAGTTTGGATCGCAGTCCTTGGAAAAGAAGCTTGGTTTGATGTCCATTCATGGATAGTACACACTCCTCCTAATATACAGAGCACTAGCTAGGCAATGATTCTTTGGGAGATGCTCTCATTCCTACAAAAGAAGGCTCTCAACTTGATGCGCCAAAATATGCACCCCATTTGTCTACTTCCAAGGCATCCATGGCCTTGGCGGCCGATGGGCGTGCCCCGCGCGTGGACATGGGAGACGAGGTGTCCACAGCAGGGGTCGGGGCCCGAGAGCAGCCCTCGCATGCCTGGTCAAGGCTTTTGAACGGAGGCAGAACGGCCCTGCGGGCTGAACCTGCGGCGGGATCGTTCAAGTGTCAAACATGCTGAATAGAATTTACATCATGTCTGTTTCAACAATAGTACATATACAAACACACACACTCATGGATATGCGTACTGACTTGATAGCGGTGCCACACGCCAGCCTAAGAAACCCAAATCCTGAAAAACCAGGTGAGGGGGCCTGAGCGCCTGTAGTTAAAGGCCAAAGTTCCAAAGTTCCAAAGCCACGAGATGACGAACAGGTCGAAGTGACGACGGTCCGTGGACATCTGCAGAACTCACTAGCCCTTTACGAGAAGAGTGGAGTGAAAGCTTGTCAACGCCACAACCAAGCAGGTACGTCGGAGTGATCAGCTCCGATATCCTCCCAACTCATGAGCAGCTTCGTTGGCAGTAGACTCATGAGTGGGCTACTGCCCCCTGCTAAAAGCTCAAAACAATCCGAAGGATCCCTATGATTCCAAGGGTTACACACACACACACACGCCTCCCCGAAGGGAGGTACACTTTTAAGCTCCATGCCGAAGGTGAGGTGAGACTAAGAGAACTGTCGGATCTCACGATAGGTCTGGTAGGCAGTCAATGGGAGTCGAAGTTGACCAATGGCATCATCATGAAGACGGGGAGCGACTGTGTGGAGAGGTCGATAAGGAAAAGAGACAGACTCCCGGGGGTATTCAGCGGAGAGGCCCTGTGGACGTACCCGTCGTGAGTTGATGAAATAGAGGACGAGGTCTTCGAGGGTGCAAGTGTGTGGAACTTCCCAAACTCGAGAGTCACCGGTCGAGGGTAGGGCCATCCAGAAGGCAGTGCGGTGCTGACCTAAGCGAGAGTAGATCACATCTTTGAGGTCATCGACTGTGTATTCCTTGGTGTTGATCTGTTGGCAGTCTAAGGTCACCGTGATGTAGTTCAGGGGTTGATAGACGAGTAAACTGACGTCCAATTCAAAGCGGACGGTGAAAAGGTCAGGAACCATGTCCAAAGTTTCAAACGGTTGGCGGACTTCTCGCCATGAGGTACGTGAGGTAGGGATTGTATTTGTCAAAGGTTCTGGTACGCGAAGGCCAGGGGAAGATATCATCGAGCGAGGTAAGGGACGAGGACCAAGGAGGGGTGGCAGCGAGGAATTTGAGAGCCGATGGCTGCGGAAAGGAAAAGTCATAAGGGAGAGAAAGTGAGAGAAAATGGAAGCATGCAGGAGAAGTAAGAACTTTAAAAGGGAAAGAATAAATTGAGACGAAACTGTTTTCTTGTCTTTTCTTTTCTTTTTCGATCTCGGGCGAATATAGTCCTGAGTGCGGGAGGTCGGTGGAAATCAGCCCGATGTTAGGCAGGAGGTCGAGTCGTAGGAAAAGGAAGTTCCAAGGTGTTTTGCGACTCGGTCGAGGTAGAATTCAGAGACATAGATCCTGAATCGGGTACAGGAACTTGAAGACCAGTGTCAGTGCTGAGAGGATCCACGGTGTGAAGCTGGTCAAGTGGAGCCGATGAGGAGGCAGTAGAAGGGCCTGGTTGATCATCAGGACGGCGAATTTGATTGAGTTCTTCACGGTAGGTGGTGAGGGTGTGAACAACTCCCGTGATGAGTACATCTTGTTGTTGAGGGGGTAGGCCCTGAAGCATTGGTACCTGAGATACGTCGAGGTTCTGGAAATTGTGGAGGAGAGCTTCCACCTGGTACTGAACATTGAGGTGCTCCAAATTCTCTCTTGCCTGTCGTTTCAGACCCCGACGGGGAACTGGATTGTCATCAAGTTGCTCAACAGCGGAAAATTTAGCTTGTTCAGCAGCGATGCGTTCTTCTTCTTGACGAGCATCTTCGTACTGTTGGCATCGATTCCAAATGTCGAGACTCATCGAAGCAGAAAGCACAAGTTGCCAACCCCGGGTGACCCAAATGCGTGAGAAGGTGTTGGGCCAATGAGAAGCGGGGTGGTCATCAATGAAATATCCCGAGACAGATTTGAAGAATGCGATGTCATTGTGATCCCAAGGTAACGTCCTGTGGTGGAACCAGGAACGATAGAACCAAAAACGTTGAGCGTGGAAGCGAAGGCATTTCCACTCCTCAATTGGTTCGGCCACTGGCCAGTCTCCACGGGTGGAATTATGGACTTGACGAGTGTAGTCGTTGTAGTCCTCGTTGTACTGGTTCTCAGAGCGAGGGACGCCCAAAAGAACAGTAGGATCCAACATCTCTGGGTCGTCAGGAGGTGCTTGAGTCGGAGAGGAGTCGTCAGAAGGAACACGAACGTCTTCTGGTTGAATCTCCATACTGTCTAGTCAGGGAGGTGAAGGAGCGTTGTGTCGCGATAGTAGAGACAAGATCGGAAGTATTCGGCTGTGACATAGTCCCAGTGGAAGATCGAGTAGGTGTGGGAGTAAAAGCGAAGACAAACTTTGAGCCGAGAGGCTAAAATTGAGACGGTAATGAAAGGAAAGGATTGTGTGGCAAGAGGGTGGAGATCTCAAAGTCAAAACCAAAATGTATGCATGTTGAAAGAAAGTGAGTGAGGACACAAGGGGTATTTTCCGCGAGGATTGGTCTCAAGTGCGGCATCAAAAGAAACTGAGAAACCGAAGTTGGGAATGAAGTTCTCGTCGTGAAAGATGGAAACGATGGCAAAGTTGGTGAAGAAGGGGTAGGAGTTGAACCGTAGTGAAGTCCTTGTTCAGGTACTGCTGAGTCAAGTCTGTAAGTTGAGGAAGGATCAAAGACCGAGGGCAAGTCAGGCGGCAGGTTGGAGGCCGTCGAAGGCAGGTTGAGGGGCCATCGCTAGTAGGTTGGAGACCTGAAACCACAAGACAGCAAAGCGGTCAAAGTTGGAGGTCTTCGCTCTTAGGTTAGAGGCCGTCGAAGGCAGGTTGGGGGCCATCGCTAGTAGGTAACAAGAAGCACAAGACAAACAAGACACCAAAACAGCAAAACAGCAAAAGTTGGGGGTCCATTCTAGTGGGTGGAGGCCAAAGTTCAAGTTAAAGAACCCCCTACAAAGTTTGGAGGCCTACCTACAACCTATAGGGTAGCCTTAGAGGAAAACAGAAGGAAAGGCACCGACACACAAGTGTGTCGAGTACCATTTCCTCCTGTTTTCCTAAATAGGGGAACAGGTACGGAAGTTTGCGTCCAAACTTCCATCCAGTGGATTTCCATAGCTTCATTGGCGTGACTAGGAAATCGACCGTCACGCCCCCTGTTCCAAACCTTAAGGTTCCCTATGATTCCAAGGGTTACACACACACACCATGCCGATACCAGCGCTCAAGAGGTTTAGTAGCCACCTAACAAGCCTTAGAGAGAAAGGAAAGGAAAAGACAGAAAGAGAAAACGAAGAGGGCAAGAAAGAAAGATAGGGGTAGTTGCGAGGCCCACTAGTTACGAAACCTTCTACTTACTGAATACTTAGCCGCGTGAATTAAGTGCAACAGTTAGCGAGCGGGGCTTTAGTCTTAGACCGCCCGGGTAGGAAAGACTAGGACAGGAGAAAGAGAAGGAAAGGCACCAACACACAAGTGTGTTGAGTGCGATTTCCTTCTGTTACCCTATAGCTAATTAGAGGGGGGGAAGGGGGGGGAATAAGAATTCGCGCAGGGGTGGGGTGGCTGGCTCAGGCCCAAAGGCACTTGGTCAGAAAGCCGAAATCGGCGCACCCTTGACTAAAAGTTTACCTGAGACCTAAAAAGCCTCTAGCAACGAACGAAGACCTGAAGAAGAGGAAAGAACACCGGAAAGAAGGAAAGCAAGACCGTGCGTGAATTACTCAGGGTGAAACGTACAAGTGAATACTTGGCACTTGACTTAAAGTTTACCTGAAACCTAAAAAGCCCCTCGCAAACGAAACAAAGACCTAGAAAACGAAAAGCAACAGCAGGAGAGAAAAAGAACCAAAAGAGATTACTTAGCTGCATGGCACGCACCTTTTTTTTCTTTCTTTTTTCTTCATGACATGTGAATACTTAGCGGCGTGGAGGATTCTTCAGTGGGCCCTGCGGCATTCGATCTCAGCGGGCCCTGCGGCGTTCGATCAGCAATCTCAAGCAGAACGAAACGAGCCAGTGGTAATCAGAATGAAGTTCACGTGAGAGGGACGAAAGAAAGTCAGTGAGAATCCTCCAAATAGATGGGTCTGTGCACATGCTGCGCCCCTCGATGGGGATCACACCACAGCCCTCAGTGGGACTCTGTGGCGGCACACACTTAGATTGATGCTCGCAAGAGCTGAATCAGTGAAGGTGGCCCACTCTAGTGATTGCATTACCCGCTGCAGGAACTAGACCTTGACTTGCAAACAGAAAGCTGGAAAAGCCCGCTTCAACTGTATGCTTTAACATGGGTGAAGCGGGAGAAATGAAATGCTTGTACGAAAACTTTTTGCAGGTACAAGATATTGTGCCCAGTATCTCTTCCAGCCGAACACCGTATCTTTGTTAGCACGGCTAGGTGAACGGCCGCTGTGCCCTCTGCCTTTAAAAGAGTTTCAGTGATTTTGAATTAACTTGCAATGTGTGAAAGCCTTAGAAGCAGGCGTTGGCACTTCGACA